GTTTCGTGTCCCTCCAGTCTCTATCATTTTAAAACGATACCCTGACAATCCTATTGAATTTGGACTATAGATCGAAAACGTTGTGTATCTATAAATTGTGGACGACACTTTTAACAAGTTTTAATTAAATGCTTTTATACCAATATACAAATTTTGAAGTTTTTAACTTCTGTATAAGTTTTATAAATTAAAAACTAAGACAGTGTATACCAGTACAAAGCGGAGTCAGACAGGGTGACTCGTTAAGCACACTTCTCTTTAATATAATAATGGACGAAATAATGCAAGCAGTCATGGTTACAGAATGAGGAACACAGAAATTAAAATATTATGTTATGCAGACGACGCCGCATTAATAGCCGAGACAGACGACGAGCTCCAAAGATTAACACATATTTTCAATACAATAGCCAAGAAATACATTTTGATAATATCAGCAGAAAAAAATAAATGTATGATAACATCTAAATACCCAATATGATGAAAAGTTTAGATATTTTTGAATAGACAACTAGTTATGAAGATGTTGAAGAAGTACGAGAACAAAGCTTAAAAGCAAGGAAAGCGGCGGGATTTCTTAATGACACAATCTGGAAGAACAAACACCTAAAACAAGACATAAAAAGAAGAAAATAGGTTTAAAACTTTGATAGGTTATATTTGATAAACTAATGACACGAGGTCGATGTTATAGGATTTCACCTAAAGGAAACATACAACTTCTCTGCTCGAAAGAGGGACTACTTTTTTTTCTGGAAATTTCCAGCCAACCACTGGGATTTTTTCTCTTTATATTTAAAACATGGACGTATAAATAAAGATGGACCGCTCTGTTTACATCTATACTTGAAGTCATGGGATATTCACAGTCATAGGCACAAATCCCTAATTTGACGTTGTCATATTATTTTTTATTCCGAGTCAATCTTCGAACTAATTTTCGATTTTTAGTGTAATTTATTTTTAGTCTATAAGTAAAAATGTATTATCTAATTAGTATAAACTATTTTTAGATATACTCATTTCGCAACCAAGGAATTAAAAGAAAAAAATTAATTTTTTAATTTATTAAAAGAAAATATATTCTGATAATCTTAACTTTTGTAAAACTTGGCATCGTTGGTAATATCAACCAATCCTAGCGATTTGACGAAAAAGAACATGGCGTTGTATTGTTTACCTTTGAGTTGATAATTTTCTTATTTGTGACATTTTAGTGAATTTGTTAATGTATTTTAAATCAGAAGTGAAGAATAGTTGATAGTTAAGTGTAATAATGGTGCGTAACTGTGTTGTATGCAGGAAAACTTCATATTTACATCCAGAACTGTCATTTCATTCGTAAGTATTGTAAACATTTAAATTTTGTCCATAGGCGTAGTACAGGGATGTGATAATACTTAATGCTTGACATGAATTGAAGTTTAATGTTGTAGTATTATAAATACATTTATTTATTTTTTCTAATCTACACTATAATTGCTATAAATATATTAATTTCAATGAAATATATACATATCTATAGGTTATGTTCATTGTACGAAAATTAAATTTAACCAAATATAATGCATACTCGTAGCATATTCCATAATATTGATAACATGTCTTTTTTCTTTTTTGTTTAATAATTCAATGATTTAGTTCTACAAACGATATGGAAAATAAAGCAACAGCTTCCAGTAGTATTGATAAGGATGATTTTTATGGACCTTCAAAGGGTGGGTTTGTATCGAATTTGTTTATTAAATTTACAAATAAAATCTAAATGTGGATTTTGATTACTTATTTCATTTTAATATTAAAATATTTTAGAAGTTTTATTGATACTGAAGAATGTAATATGGAGACAGACTTGGGCTTTAATGTAACATCTAATTCTACTAAACTATTAAAAAGGAGGTGAGTTTTGGCTATATTTTGTATGAGATTATTTCAGTCTTAAACCAATTTTAATACTCTTCTTTAATGTACATAAATTGAATATTCTAGATGTTTAAATGACAGTGAAGACAACAAGGAAAATATAGATACAGAAAACGCATCTTCGAGCACCATTACAGCATCAGAAACTGAAACTGTAGAGTTGATACTTGGTGATAATACTTTTTCATATGTTCCACGTAATATTTATAAAAAGTGAGTTTTTAGTTTAATTTATAAAAATTATCAGTATTACCTAGAGGAACTCTAATATTGTAACTCTTCATGCAATTATAACTTCTGATCAACTTAAAATAAATACCTGGTCCGACTCTGATTTACTATCTTTTAATAATAGCTTGCTTCTTAATAATAGCCGGATGAGTATCGTTGATTCTGTAAAATTTCATGGTATTTTTACAGACAACAACCTTAAATGGTTTTTTTTATATCAATTTGTTAAGTAATAAACTAGTCTCAGCCTGCTATGCAATAAGATCTGTTTTAGAGGAAATCAATTTAGCATCTTCCAATAACATATTTTTCTTTGTTCGAGTCTCATCTTCGATATGGCCTTCCTTTTTGCGGTTCTAGTACAGCTGCCCAATCTAATGTTGTTTTTAAATAAAAAAAAAGAGCAATACGGTATCTTCTTGGACTCAAAAGAATAACACATTGTAGAAGCTACTTCAAATATCACGGGATTTTTACTCTTCCCTCTTCGTATATTCTAGAAACTATTTTCTTAATTGGTAAATATCTACATGTTTTACTAAGAAGGCCCAATCATGACTACTCCACCAGAAATTCAACCTTTGATGTGTAATTATCGATCCCGTTCACTGACTTAGTAAAGAAATCTATATTATATTCGGCAAAAAAATTATACAATTATCCCCCTCTGCAACTTACAAATTCTATCCTTAAGTTCCGTAAAATGACAAAACCCTATCTATCTCAAAGACCGTATTATTCAGTGGAAGGGTATTCTGGAAGATTGGTAACTAAGGATGAGTTATTCATCTGACCGCGGAAATCTATCCGAACATATATATATATATATATATATATATATATATATATATATATATATATATATATATATATATATAATATATATATATATATATATATATATATATATATATATATATATAAACGAAGAATGATCACAGCTGTCCAATAATTAATTAGTATAATGGTAAGGTTAATTGGGTTAGCAGCTGAAAGTTAGCAGCAGATTCAGCTGCTAACCCAATTAACCTTACCATTATACTAATTATATATATATGTGGGGGCCTGCGTAGCGCAAGCGGTAGTGTGCTTGCCTCGCATGCCGGTGGTCGTGAGTTCGAATCCTACCGCCGGCAAGAACAACTAGGCATTTTTAAAAATGTCTATAGGCCCCAGGTCGACTCAGCCTGAATAAAATGAGTACCTTGGGTAAAATCAGGGGTAATAATAGGCGGTTGAAGCGTAGCACTGGCCATGTTACCTTCCTTGTATACCGTAGGCCCTAGATATAGCAGACTACCCTGCTATACTCCCAAAGCCGCGTGCGGTATAAAACGGGAGACTATTATTATTATTATATATATATATATATATATATATATATATATTGGATTTGAAATTTCCGCGGGAGCTATATAGTTTTCGTTTTTAGAAAAACCATTGTTTTGACGACGTTTCGGCAAGGTCACACTTGCCATAGTCAGATTAGTTCTGCTTTGTCTTGATGTTTCAGGAGAACTGAACGAAGCAGAACTAATCTGACTTGACAATGGCAAGTGTGACCTTGCCGAAACGTCGTCAAAACAATGGTTTTTCTAAAAACCAAAACTATTTAACGCGAAGTCAAAACCGGAAAACATCTGAAATCATATATATATATATATATATATATATATATATATATATATATATATATATATATTTGTGTATCACATGCAGCAACTAAAACTTATTCGTAAACTATTTCGTAAGGTTTTATTATGCAACAATTAGATTTTGCAATGAATTGTATATTTTACTATTTTTTATTTTGTGATATTGACGATTTTTGTAATTTTAGTAAATTTTAATTGTCATTGTTTTTTTTTTACTTTTTGTAAGCATTGTATAATTTTCAGTGACAATAAAGCATATTTCTATTTTAGAACCCTACCCGTTCCATAAGGTTTAATGTCTTTTATATATTGTTGTATATGTGGTTTGTTGTTTATGTTTTGTTAAACAATGGTTTATGGTTTTATTACGTTTATTAATATTTTCTTAAATACATATTCCTGAATTTTTATCTTTCTTCTGTCTACTGCTATGTCTAACGTGACATACTAATGTTGCCAACTAACAATTAAGCTGGAGTTATACACCATAATTCACTATATATTTTCAACTTATCACTCACTGGATAAGAGCAGAACATACTCAATACCCTGAACAGGTTAATGTTTGGGGAAGAATTTTTTAAACTTTTTATTGCTTGTATGATATTTTAGTTTAAATAAAATATTATACAAAGTACTTTACGATTTTATTTACTCCTTCTTTATTCTTTTGTGTAAATTAATTTTTATAAATATATTTCTATACACTGAAAATTAAAATTATTCACCGTTTGTTGTTTCTCACTTATTCGAAATATTTCATATGTTTACGATACTAAAAATAAAAGAAAGCAAAAGTCAAATCAATAGTCATTATTTATTCAAGTGAAAAAACTGTTTCAAATAACTTTCAAATATTGGAAGGTACGCCGCTGGCTTAAAAGGTAATGTCACAGTCTATCACCTCGTCTCTTTCCCCGCGCCTATAAACTTTTTGACTTCAAATTTAGGTGAACAGAGTGCAGGGCATGCCTAGTCCATCTTTATTTATACGTCCATGATTTAAAACTAGAAACCTAATAGGGTCATCTCTTATCGACCGACAAAATTTTAACAACCTAAATGAAAATATAAAAAAATGAAGTAAACCATTGAGAGGGCGATTTGCTGAACATTTCAAGATTAAACTAAATATATTTATGTGAGTCTTTATGTAAGTCAAAAAAATTGTGTAAAATACATATTTCTTACCTGCTTCTACATCATCCGCATTTTCTTTCTTCGGAGAAGTTACATCACTATCATTAGATTTTTCATCTTTAACGCGACGTTTTTTCGGTTTATTACCGTCACCGTGATCGTACTTATCAGCAGCTTGCTTAATTTTAATTCGATATTTACTATCTTCCTTTCTCTTTTCCACATATTCATCAGCTTCGTCTAAAGCCTGTAAAAATAATTGATTCTTAGAGCACTCATAGTATTTCTCCTTATTTTCGGCATACGGACATATGAACTTGCTTTCAACCCAAGCGTTCGCATATTCTCCCAAAAATTGAACGGGGTAAAATTGTTTGTGAATTTTCGGAGGACGCGCAGTATTAACTTCAGATTCGTCAATTATAACTGCCGGCCAGTACGGATGTCCCATCATTTTCGCCCAAACAAGTTCTTGTACTGCAAATTCCTTATCTAAAAGAAAAATTCTATGTTAGCAGACACACATCGAGATTGCTGCATTATACAGTACGTAACAAAAAGATAAGTAAACAATTAAACTATATAATTTGGGCAAACAAAATTGCTAAGTGTAAGGTTTAGTAAGTTAGGTTGTATATTTGCATCTTGAAATAAATACAAGAACCGTGCACAATTTAAAAATTGTATAGGAGTTGTGATCCTAGATTCCACAAATTCCTTTGTATGTTGCAATTAAATTATTATTGTAGCACCAAAAGTTTTTACCGAGATACAGCCTCTTTCTCATTATACTTAAAAAATATTATATTCGGCTGTTTAACACTCTTTGCTATGGGTACTATTAAACAGTTTCATTAAAAATATAATAAATAAACAATATTTTTTCAAATATCTATGAACATTTTTTGGTAAGTCCAGGTGAATGCAAGATGAATACCGCAGCAGCCGAAAGGCGTTATGAAGAAAAATATCCCAACCTGAATTACACACGAGAGACAATTATTTATACAGAAACACCGAACAAAAAAATATCGTAATTAAAGCAGACCTTGGAATAAGCCTTTCTGCTTTTGGATGGGTAGTCCTAACCTAACTTGTGTACACAATTGTCTGACTTTTTTAAAACATAAGTTTTAAATAAAATAAAATAGTCCAAATGTGTAAACCATTTTGGCCACTTTTGTAATATATCTAAGAGAATTATTTGTCAGTAAAGCAATAAAATTCACAAAAAAGTTCGTTCAAAGTCGAACCCCATTTGATTGAATGCGAAGTATTTTCAAAAGTTCCGAACCATATGGAAATCCTGCAAAATGAACTAAAATATTTATATATCCTATATGTATAGGAGCACTTACAAGAACAACTTTACTACAGGAGGAATAAGGTACTCGGTAAAATTAATGTAGAAGGGGTACACACATGCTTCATGTTTATCTGTCCAACAATTTAGTGATGACAGTAGTAATAAAAATAACAAACCTGTGAAGGTTTTGTCTTTATATAAACCAACTACAGTCTGGCAAATAAGTGAAATGACTCGAGATTGATCAGATGGGTTTTTGTTTCGCTTAGCTATCGCAATGAATGTTACCAGGAAGCGTGTCAATAGCGAAGAAAGAGTGCATATATGGTCAGTATATATTTGGATTTCTCAGTACATTGTGTGTTCGAAGTATACAGGTACCTTTGTATTTACCGACATTTACCTTTTGTTAAATATTGTTTCATTAACTAAAAATAGAAGAACCTAGCACTAACAAGAACAGTATAAATGTGAAATGTTCTCTCAAACAGTTAGGATTTCAAGCTAAAAAATGGTGTCTAATGTGTATGAATATTTGAGAAAACATTGTCTCAGGCAGAGGCAAGAAGTCGTTGCGAATGTGTAACACGAATGTCGTCATCCACTATTTACAGGATTGTGTGTCAAAAACAAACGCTCCCACAGACATACCGACGAGGTCGAAAACCAATTGAATTTAATGAACATAGGGCTGGATTTATAGTTTGACGGAGTGTAAACGTAGACGCACTGGAAAAAGATCAACATAGAATTTTGCGTACACTTATTTTATAAATGAACGTAAACGCATGATGAAACGTAACTGAAACAGACTGGGACGGAAGAGTTGACCAACTTTCATCTTTTAGAGTGCGTTACTTGCGTCTGGCCAATCAAAAGGAAGAATTTTGTGCTGTCAACCAAAGTGAACCGTCTGGCCCGCCCTCCATTTTGTAAAGTTGTTTATTAACATATTCGAATTTTGATTTTGTTGATTATTTGTTACAATGGACGTTAAGAATTTATAAAATAATAATAATAAATAATAAAAGGATATCATAGTATCATGGTCACTAACTCTAGCCATTGGTTCTACCTATGCGCAATAATTCCACAACGTCGATTTATACATTGAAATAATATTTACAGTCCGTTTGTTCCATCTCCAGTGCGTCTACGTCTACAGTCCGTCAAACTATAAATCCAGCTTAACAATTCAGAAATAAGACGTAGAATTCAGTCTTTTTATCTTAATAAGGAAATTCCTACACTACAAAAATCTTTTCTGTAATAAGAATTAATAAAGTATTTCCCCAAATGAGTAGTGAAACTTTGCGTAAACAGTTACATAAATTGGAATCTACTTATGCTAAGTATTTTTGGGTGGCATGTATCATTCACCTTCTAGTTCTGATGCAGTATTTTTAGATAACTTAGAGCATATTTTTGATGAACTATTTAAAAGTAATGTCAATTGTATTTTAATTGGTGATTTTAATTTGGATTATTTAAGTACTAGCTTCTACACCCAGAAAATTAAAGCAATGTTTTTACAACGTGGCATTAAGCAGTTAGTAACGCAACCTACTAGAATTACGAATTGTATTAAAACCTTAATTGATTATGTTCTTGTTAATAATGATCTGGTTAGTTGTTTGGTTCATTCAACTCCCAAATTGAGTGATCATTCAATAATATCGGTCAGTTTTAGTAATAGCTTTCAAATTTTAATGTCTCTAGTAAACGTTACAGATGTCTTAACGAGGAAAAAATATATCAAATCCAAATGAATTTACTTTCTTGTGTTTGGGATTTAGATTGTACTGATGTCAATACTATTTACAATGAAATTTTATCAAACAGTCACACTGTCATAAATAAAATAGCACCTATTCAAACATGTCAGATCAAAAGTAACATACCATGGTTTGATAATGAAGTTAATACTAAAATTTAAATTAGGGACAAATTATACAAAGATTTTAAAACAGCTAACATAAATGATAGACATGCTAAATGGGAGGATTTTAAAAGAGCAAGAAATGTGGTAGTTAATATGTTAAAAGCAAAAAAGAACAACATTATTTTGATAAAATCGATAGGTATAAAAATAATTCTAGACTTATGTGGAAAACGCTAAAAACACTAATTAACAATAATTGTCAAAAATTCCCTTATGGAATTGGTGTCAGTTTGGTGAGTATTTCGTCTCTAGTATTCAGCAAATTGTTGAAACTATCGACTCTGAAGAACTATGGAGTTATGATAATCAGACTTTGTATCCTAGTATATATGAATTTTGGTTACTGTTACTGAGTGACTTGGCAGTCATGGTTAATAGATAATAGGAGTAACATTAATGAAATACTAAATTCCAAAATATTAAAAGAGTTTTTGTAACTTGTAGTCATGTTATCTTATATTTTATAAATACTTCTCTTAGATCATCAAAAATTCCAGATTTATTAAAAATCAGTACAGTTGTTCCAATACCAAAAGTTAATCATACTCTTAAGGCGAATGAATTTAGACCTATAAATATACTTCCGCCCATTGATAAAAATGAAATCTTAATGAATACTCAGTCTGGTTTTCCTAAAAAGTATTCATGTGAAACTGCACTGCAACTTTCACTTTGTAAATTCAGGTCTGAATTGGACAATGATAATGAAGAAGTAGTATTCCTTGATTTAAAAAGGGCTTTTGAAACTATTGATCGTAATATACTTCTCACTAAATTAGAAGGCTATGGTATTGGAGGAAATGTTCTTGAATGGTTTAAAGATTACTTATTGGTTAGCAAGCAACAAGTGAGGATTGATGATGTTACTTCTTCTGCAATTAGTGTTAATATTGGGGTACCTCAAGGTAGTGTCTTAGGACCCCTTTTATTTATATTGTATTTACATGATATAAACTTGTTTGTTAAGTGTGATTTCTTTAATTTGTATGCAGATGACACCCTACTTACATGTTTTGATTCAAACTTAGAAAATGCTAGATCTAAAATGAATTCAGCATTGCAGTCTGTTAATAAATATTTAAAGATCAACAAACTAAAGTTAAATGTGTTAAAGACAAAGGCTATGATAATAACAACTAAATACAAATACTCAAATATTGATATTACTTAATAGTATTAATCTTCAAATTGACAATGACAAAATAGAAATCATAACAACAATTAAGTACCTTGGTTTTCATTCAATTGGATAATTTATTGTCTTTTGATGACCATTTTAATTACATATTAAAAAAGATTTCTAAAAAATTATACTTTTTTTCAAGAATATCTAAAAATTTGTCAACTGCAACTAAAATTACAGTTTTTAATACAATTATTCAACCTCACTTCGATTTTTGCTCGTCAGTTATTTTTCTCTTCAATTTAAATCAATCGGCCCAGTTGCAAAAATAACAAAATCGTGGAATGAGAATAATTCTTGGTGGAAACAGATATACACCTATAGCAACAATACTTAGCATGCTGCAGTGGGTTTTAGTTCAACAAAGGGTCTTTTACCTTACAATGGTGTTCATTTATAAAATTCTAAATAATTTGGCCCCTGCTTACTTTTGTGAGTTTATTACACGGAATTGTGATGTTCACAATTACCCTACTCGAGGTAAGTGCAATTTACACATTGTGAAAACAAAAAGGACGGTTTCGAGAAACTCTTTGTTGTTTAAGGGTTTTGATCTTTTTAATAAGCTTCCTAAAACGGTTAAAAATTGTTCATCTTTACAAATGTTCAAAAAGAAATTAATGGACCATATTAAAAGCACTAATAGATAAGATAGCACCAAAAGTTAGGTAGTTGTTTTGTTGTCATGTTATTGTTTAATATAATAAGTTATGTATTATTGTTTTATATTTTTTAATAAGTGTAGATACTATATTTTAAGTGTAATTGTTATTTTTATCTTTATATGAATGTTATAAGTTGATTATTTTTGTATGTATTAGGGCTTTCCCTATTTTTTTTTGAATAAATAAACTTCTACACTCATGGTAACAAAATGGATTGGATATCATGACATGCTTCTAGGGAAAACTGGCGTGCGGTAAAAGAAATGATAAATCAGGACAAAATCAAATGGACAATAAACTCATTTGAGTCATATAAATATCCGGGTTTGGACGGGATTTATCCAATACTTCTACAATATAGAAATGAGCTACTGTACAAAAAATTATGTATGATGATCCAATAGGCTAGCTTAGGAATGTGGAGCATGAAGGCTTATAAGGGTAGCTTTTATACTCAAAACTGGCAAAACCGGACATAAAAGGCAACCATACTAATGACTCTAAAAAACTGATCAATAGGCATTTTAAAGATGGAGTATTGGTTAAGTTCGATACATCAGGGGCAGTATGAGTCTCAAGCAGGACTCTACGCAAACGACACCGCACCATCTCGTACAGAGGAAGCATTCGACAACACCTCCCACAAAGTAATAACAAGGACAATTTGTCTAAAAGGAATATACGAAACAAGCTGCACATAGACTGCATACTGAGGAGCCGTGTGATTTATGCAACATTAATAGGAGATGTCAGACAGAGAGAGACAGAGAGACACTGTCAGCACAAGTATACAGTATCCGTAGGTTGGTATTATCTTCTCTCTTGCGGAATTTGGTCATGGATAGGTTGAAAGTTAGGCTTAACAATGACAGGCAACTTGGGCTCTGCAGACGACCTGGTCATCTTAGCCCACAGCAAATATTAAATGACACGTTCAGATATAGTGTAACAAGGTCTGACTGTAGTTACTCTCAGAAGTTCAAAATCATGAACAAGGAATGTGGAAAGAACACATTTTTCACTGAAAAACCTAAGAGCATTTTATAGTTTCTATAGTTAAAAAGAACTACTTAGAGTAGTTGCTTCCTGTTTAAAGAGGCCATAATGGCCCGTCTAACTAAAGAATCTGGTATTTGAAGAATAATTAAGAAATAAATACACATACATTGCTTACCAATATCGGCAATCCCAAAAATATCAAAACCATTTTCATTAATCTCTTTGTCCATATCATTTTTATTTGATTCCTCAACTTTGTTAGAGTCATTACCTTCAACAGTAGACACACCATTAAGATTTTTCTTTGATTTTTTTGCAGACGATTCTCCACTCTTTTCCACTCCTACCGAAGTCTGACCATTGAGACTCTTCTTTGATTTTTTTATGGATGCATCTCCATTCTTTCTGTCTACTACAGGAGACTCACCATTGTCTTGTTTCTTTGCTTTTTTTGTAACTGCAGGTAACTCTTCTTTCTTCCGTTTTTTTGAGAGCTTTATTGGAACTTGATATTCAGGATCCCCTTTTTGTTTTCGCACATATTCGTCGGCTGCACTTATGGCTTTAGAAAATAGTTGATTTTTTGAACCTTTGCAGTATTTTTGTCTGTTCTCTTCATATGGACAAATATAGGTGTCCACTATCCACCCATTGGTATTTTCCCCTAAAAATTGCACTGGGTAATGCACTTTGTTGGATTTTTTTGAAGGTCTTTTAGCATTGATATCTTCCTCCTTGATTATAACGGCAGGCCAGTGAGGGTGGCCCATCATCTTAGCCCATACAATCTGCTGTACATGAAAATCTCTATTGACATCTGAAATAAAAATATATGAATATTTAATAGAGTACAACTTCTTAAGAGCAGACAATAAAAATGTTATAAAATTTTGGACATTTAGATGTGTACACTTTATTTGGTATTAAGAGAGAGTCAAATTCCAATTTTATATACAAAACATTTAAAAAGTGGGCAAACTAAAAAATTCTAATAAACATTTAAATTGCAATTCTGTCTTTCCTAATCCTGTAAAAAGTTCGAATAAAATGGGTTATTATGGGGTTCGAATAAAATAAGTTTGTACAAGGTACATGTATCAGACAAATCAAAGTTACAAACATACATCTTAAAAGTATATAAATTAATAAACACGATAAAACATACTTGAAAGTTATTTTTAGAATATGGCTCTAGCTCACAAATGTATTGATGTACACACCTCCGAAAGTTTGGCTGATGTAAATTCATTCGTATATCTATTGGTAATTTGTTAAAGAAACTTATGGCTGCATAATGTGTGCTACCTTCCAACAAAACGGAACGATGTTGTGGAAGCATAAAGTGATTGTCTTTGAATCTTGTTGAATAAACATGGTTAAATTGAAATTTATTAAATTCATAAATTTTGCTATGTAAATAAATACATTATACACGAAAATATATACAGACCAGAAATTGTGAGAATATTGTTTTGTCTAAAGATGCCTCTACAAGAATCTTTAAATTTCATTTTATACATTATTCTAATAGATTTTTTCTGAAGTACGAATATCTGCTCTAATTCAGAAGTACAACCCCAGACTTCAATGCCATATTTGGCTATTGAGTAAAAATGGGCAAAGTATACTCTTTTTAAATAGGTAAAGAAATAATAAATAAGACTTACTCACAATCAATTTAATTTAACGATCAGACGACCGGTTTTGCTTTCTACAATATGCAAAGCATCCTCAGGTCTCGATACAAAGTTAAACAAATGCTGAAATAATAAAAACCCATATTAGGGTGTTGTCTAATAACGATAAACAAAGTAGGTGTTGTAAATTACAATAATTATGCCAATATTACATGTCTGTAGTTTTATTTAAATGAGTAAGTTGAATAAAAGGTATAAAATTTTTAAAAAAAGTTCAAACAGACAAGGTAAGGCCCACAAATTGTTATAAAATAGCCTCTTCGATTGTAATAAATTAATAAATGAGCAAATAAATAAATAAAATAAACATTACTTACATGCCGGTACTCTATTAATAGATGGATGGTAGAACATGGTTGAAACTACTTTATATTGTTAAATGGAGAACTCAATTCTATTATTGCAGTTGTTTGACAGTAAACGGGAAGTTCTTGAGGAGATATATTTGATCCAATGAAGAAGAGATATGTGTGAGATTGTTTGTTAAATGTAAGTGATGTAATATACTATTGTGTTATTAAAAGCTATTTATCGAATAAGTATAAATAGCTTTTAACAACACAATAGTGTATTACATCACTTACATTTAACAAACAATCTCACACATATCTCTTCTTCATTGGATCAAATCTATCTCCTCAAGAACTTCCCGTTTACTGTCAAACAACTGCAATAATAGAATTGAGTTCTCCATTCAACAATATAAAGTAGTTTCAACCATGTTCTACCATCCATCTATTAATAGAGTACCGGCATGTAAGCAATGTTTATTTTATTTATTTATTTGCTCATTTAATAATTTATTACAATCGAAGAGACTATTTTCTAACAATTTGTGGGCCTTACCTTGCCTGTTTAAACTTTTTAAAAAAATTTTATACCTTATATTCAACTTACTCATTTAAATAAAACCACAGACATGTAATATTGGCATAATTATTGTAATTTACAACACCTACTTTGTTTATCGTTATTAGACAACACCCTAATATGGGTTTTTATTATTTCAGCATTTGTTTAACTTTGTATCGAGACCTAAGGATGCTTTGCATATTGTAGAAAGCGAAACCGGTCGTCTGATAGTTAAATTAAATTGATTGTGATTAAGTCTTATTTATTATTTCTTTACCTATTTGAAATGGACTCACACAAGCAACACATTCATGATTATACTCTTTTTAATATTGATGTATGAAAGAGACGCGAGAGAATTCTCAATGCATAACATGCGCTACTTAATCTGGATTTCAAATTATAAATGTGGTTTGACCATTTACAATTACCCCCAGCAACTTCGTGCAGTCTGTTTTATCTATTGCTGATTCTATAGTGCCTTGATGGTTTAATAAATTATTTGACATGAAAATCATATACTTTGATTTCTCTTCATTCAAAACTAATTTGTTGGATAAGAAATAACTGTTAATGGTGAATAGTATCTGTGTAGTTTTATTTTGCAAATTTTGATCAGACATTCCTGTGACTAGAATGTTGGTATCATCCGCATAACTGATGATGTTAACTCCAGTCAGTGAATTAGTTATCAAATCTATATCATTAATAAATACTAAAAAAAGTAGAGGACCCAATACGCTACCCTGAGGGATACCATAATGGGAGGGATATCCAATGTGTTTGATTCGTTTACAAATTCAACTGAGGGTTCAACAATTTCAGGTGATTCACAAATCAAAAGAAAATAAAATAGTTCTATAAATCATTACTTCAATGTAAAAATAGTAGCTTTCCTACATTTTTTAATTTTAATCTGTTTCTGTTTAATCTCGAACCACCAAATGAAAGGACCCTTTTTTCTTTCAAGGTTTAGCTCTTCAGAAAATATTTTGATTTCAGGGATGGCGTCTGCTTGTGGACTTCTTACATGCAAAGATATTTTTATACATGTATCAAAAGCCTGCCAAATCATATCGTAATTTTCTGTATTGTCCAATAAGTCCTTCTTTATATTTTCATTTGTTTCATTAAAGGTTTCATTTTCAGCAGATTGATATTCTACAAGATGTACTAGTTCATCCGGAATTTGATTTTGAACACTTTTTAAATTGCCTTCATTGCTAAATGAATTGTTTTTAAATCTCGGATCCAAGAAAGAAGCTGAATCCAGTATAATATTGTTTTCAGGATTTCCAAAACGGACAATAATCGAAGCGAGCAGATAATTTATTACAATTCTTCCTGCTTCACTTCACTAATACTTTAACTTTAATTCGTTCTAAAGAAAGTAGCATAATAAGTTTAACTTAAGAGAGGGTTACTTGCTTTTCTGTGCCCATTTCAACAGTAACTGCTTCAAAAGGTTTCAAAATGTGGCAAAGTTCGTTTAGTATTGTGCAATCGACTTCACTTGGAAGATTAATAGGATTTAGCAAAAGACCAACTGTTGCAGACAAGGACAACCTAGTTTCTCAAACATATATGTCGAGTTTCACCTTGTTGCCACATCATTAATCAATTTTCCATGTGATTCCGTCTGGTTTAATTTGATTTTGAGTAGGTATAATTTTAAAAAATAAATGTAAACATATTTTATAAGACCAATAATTGACAAGTCTCTCAGTTCAAGTTCTCAACTTGAATCGACTAAAAGCAAACGAATATTTAAAAACTAACAAAGTGAAATATTAGATTCTTTTTTTGGACCATCATTCTGCCAATTTCTTTTCATTTATGATAAACAAACAGTAGATTTCTTTTTATTACATTTGCTGCTGATGACATTGACATAATAGGGCGTAGCAAGCGAGATGTTGAGCAATATCTCATAGAATTGGAAACAGCGGCGAAACAGGTCGGTCTAGTCATCAACGAAGACAAAACCAAGTACATGTTGGTTACAAAGTATCCGATACCAAATGAGGAACGAGAAACAGTCTTTAAAAGTCATACCTTTGGACGTGTTGACAACTTCACATACCTTGGGTCAATATTGTCTGCTACCAATAAAACAAGTGAAGAAATCAAAAGACGAATAAATCTTGCAAATAGGGCATACTATGGACTCCAAAAGCATTTCCACTCAAGAAACATTCAAAGAAGAACTAAAATTATTATATACAAAGCATTGCTGAGGCCGGTTCTCACATATGGAACAGAAACATGGACTCTAACGCAGAAAGATGAAATACTTTTGGGAATATTTGAGCGTAAAATACTCCGCAAAATATTTGGAGCTATAAACGACCAAGGGCAGTGGCGCAGAAGATATAATTTTGAATTGTGTCAGCTCTTTGATGAGCCAGATGTCATAATGTTCATTAAAACACAGCGACTTAGGTGGACTGGACACATAATACGAATGCCAGAAAATACTATTGATAAAAAGCTAACCACAGGAACACCTGTAGGAAGAAGAAGGAACGGCTGACCGCGAATTAGGTGGTTAGATGGAGTTGAAACCGACTTACGGATATTAAAAATCAGAAGATGGCAACATGTTGCCAGAAACCGAACAGAATGGCGACGAATCTTAGAGCAGGCCAAGATCCATAGAGGATTGTCGAGCCAAAGATGATGATGATGACATTTGCAAGTAATAAATAGTGTTAATATAAACGAAGCCACTCCCCCACCCATTTCATTCGTGTTTCTTTAGTCTTTACCAAAGATATAATATATCTACTTCATTGTTGGTCTTTTACACCACTGACTACTGTTTACTATAATGGCTATCTTTACCAAAAGTAATGAGTATTTCTAACAACAACAAAGAGTCGGTACTTTGGGTATTGGACAAATATCCGTTACTTTGTTACGGGTAGATAATTTTTTTACATCACTACAATACATTGACAAAACACTGGTAAATATGTTTGATGCTTAAATTTCCGTATTATTGCCAAAAAAAGCTTTTGCAGGGTTTCCCAAACATTATAAACCACCAGTTAATAATTGATAACATATAATCATTCGAGCCAAATATCTCATTCTAGATATGTGAACATGCACTATTTCACCAATACCTTCCTAGCAATGTTTCAGCCTAAAGATTGTATGTTTTTCTGGAAAAAACATCTTTATTTAATTGATCCTAAGACATATCCTTCTATATTAAAAAAACAGAAATATCTTATTTGTTGAATTGTACCATAAGAAGTGTGAA